ACAATTGCTTGTTGTTTCCTTCTGTACTTCGTCGTATTGATCTTTGCAAGAAGAGCTGATAAGGGAGATGAAGACAAAGTATGGTCATAGATGCAAGTACATCTAATTCAATACTTTTATTCCTTCACAGATTGATTTTTTTCTTTTTTAAGCTACTATTGAAATGTAAATAAAACGTGCTACGTTCTTACCGGTAGATGTCAACCCTCAGGTGAGTATTTCGGATTATTTTTAACACCAGAATGTATCCTTGTTTTCAGATTTGCCCTCCTAAATTGATATCAGTTGTTGAGGGAGGAACATATTACTACGATGTGGTTATAAGCACTGGTGTTTGGAAACATTCAGCAACAACAGCTAACATAATCATGAGTATCAAGGGCGACAATAACGAGCAGAGTCAAATTCCCTTGCGAGAGAAAGGGGACACGAGCCAGTTTTTCGGACGAGGGAGTATCAATGGCTTTGTTCTGGTGATGGCTGAATCCATTGGCACATTAAAAGAAATTACTTTGGAACACGATAATCTGGGTGATAACCCGTCTTGGTTTGTGGAGACTGTGGTCATCAAAGACCGGCAGACGGAAGAAAGGTGGGTGTTTCCCATAAATAGATGGCTTGCGTTGGAGAGAGACGACGGTCAAATAGAGGTTACCGTGGACAGCACGACTTACTCTGCCTTCTCGGCTCAGGTTCGTTCGCGCTTTGCTCGAAAAATTGCCGACAGTCACCTGTGGATGTCAGTGTTTGGAAAAGCATGTAGCAGCACCTTCACACGTGTGCAAAGAGCTTCATGTTGTCTTTCAGTTCTGTTTAGTGCAATGATAGCTAATGCCATGTTCTATAACATTGGTGGTGAATCCGATGGTGCTATACAGGTTGGGCCTTTCAAGTTTTCTTGGAGACAGATTGTCATCGGAGTACAAAGTGGTATTATCATTGCACCTATAAACATAATAATTGCCTTCCTGTTTAAGTCTAGCAGACCGAGGAAGAAAAGGAGTGAAAAATACCAAGTTACAGGCGAGGCCCAACGACTTTTGGATGAAATAACGAACACCGGTTGTATGCTTCCTCATTTCTTTGTCTATGTAGGCTGGTTTCTCTGCTTCTGTACGACTATGGCAGCAGCAACATTTACGCTGTTTTACAGTCTAATGTGGGGAAAGGAAACCTCTGAGCAGTGGCTTGCTTCCATCTTGATTTCCAATGGACAAGATATTTTCGTTATGCAGCCTACGAAAGTTATGATTGCAGTCATCGCTATTTCCTTTCTCCTGATCAGAAAGAATAAAGACCAACGTGAAGACGAAAAAGAGGAAATTGCAATCGATCCACTTGCAATTGAAATAGACTTTGTAAGTGATGATCCCAAACAGCGATTTAAGAAATATCAGCGGGAAAAGATGAGGGAGAGATCAAAAAGAGAAGCTCAGTTAACAAGCATGACAAGAGACATTATCCTTCATCTGATATTTATGTTTCTTCTGGCTATCGTTTCTTATGGAAACAAGAATGGAAATCGTTTCCTGATGACAACTGAGATTAGAAATCGGTTCACTAAATTCAATGTGGTAAGATTATCGTTTTGGCCAAAACACACTTTCTAGTTTAAAGATAGAAGGCATTTTTTGTTGTTATTGCCCTTTTGCAAGAGAATCCTAAAACCGTTAAAGAATTGAAATGACCTTTAAAAGAAAAATTAGATTTAAGGTTAACCTTCTAACTGCCAGATCACATTTTCAATTATCTTTACTGTCAACCATATTATTTTTATAATATTAGTGCAGAGAGTTTGGTACTAGATCAACTTAGTATCCCCAAATTTATGTTTTTCTTTATTCTCATCACTTATCTGGCTGATATTGCATTGATATTGTAAGGAGAAATTCTGTGTTGGTCACTCATGGGAGTTAAAGAGTTAAAGCATTGATCCCTGTAGGTGAGCTGCAATTAGAGAAAGATGCCTCTAAATGCTAGGGCTTCGACAGGACGCCAATCTGTGCCTTCCACATCCCAACTGATCTACGAAGCCATATGTTGGAAAAAGGCTAATTATTATAGTTAGTTTTTTACTCTCGGTAAGGAATCTGAACACTTTTGATTTAAAATTACATTTCAATTAAAAAAACCAAGTATTTCAAGGAAGGAAACTGAAGGAACTGCCTTTTGTTTGTTAAACGATTGTGTTTATTTGTTATTTTGATAAATACATCAACCTCATCAGATAACAATGTCAACAGCTCAAATGCAAGAACGAATATTAGGATCTGCCTTTTGTTTTGTTAAACGATTGTTTTTTTTTATTTTGATAAATATATCAACCTCATCAGATAACAATGTCAACAGCTCTCAGAGTCATGTTTTTCATTTTAGGTATATGATGCACAAAGATTTGAGGCATGGTTAAGGAACGAATTTCTGTCGAACATTTATAATCAGGTGTGGTATAACGGACTTGAAGAGAAAAACGAAGTGTACATCGAAAACAAAATGTCCATACTAGTAGGAATGCCCTGGTTGCGACAGCTCAGAATTAAAAAAGGTATACTCAATTGAGATTGATCTATTTTCTTTCTTTTTTTTTTAATGCACAGAATAAATTTCGAAGAAGGCTCTTATTGCAAAGTGCTTAGACCAATGAAAGTAATAAATTATAGGAAATGTATAGAGGGCCTAATTTTGAACTGATGGGGCGTACCCACTTCTACTAAGCGTATCTGCTACTTATTAAAGTCAGTTTTCACCTTTGATGATCACGCTGTTGCTCACTTCCCGGTGTGCTGAAAATTACACGAAAAAAAAACTTTCACGTTACACACCGTAGAAATCACTGGATTTTTAAATAGGACATTGATTTTGAGATATAAATGTTAAAGAATCAGTTTGTTTATTTTCTTTTTAAGGAAACATCATTAATATATTGTACTTCTCCTTCAAGGTTTTTGCGAATCCCCTCCTAGAATTATCTCAACTTGCTACTACGACTATTCCTCAGACATTGAGGACACTACTTCCCTAAGCCTTCCAGGCTGGAAGCCTCTTCCCTTCAACACATCGTGGCCAAATG